AATGTCTTGGTCCGCCACACTGCAGATATAGGGAACGAACTTGAGATGCCTCTAACTACTCTTTTGGAACTGGCCATTGTGAAGGGCATCCCGACGCGGATCTCGGTCGTGCGATCCATGAGATCGCACGACTGTAATCAGCCGCGCGGGGCTGAGATGACCCCTGGGCAAGGATAAAACATTCAAATTGGAAAGGAAAAAAAAAACACTTTTAAAGTTTTTTCGAAACCTATGCATTGGAACTTGGATCTGCATTTCAACAGTTCGTGGGTGAGCCATAAACCATGACACGATCGTTTGCTTAAAGCCAACAGGAAAAAAAAACAAAAACTAAATCGAACGTGAAGCGCCACTTGGCGCAATGTGAAGTGATTGGGGCACTTCAGTCCCCAGTGCACCTGATGATGCCCGTTAAACGGACGACCGTTCCTTTAGTAGGTTTTCTTTTTGTTTTTTTTATATTTTTAGATGTTCTTGGTTTGCTTTAGATTTTTCCTTTAGATTTTTTTTTGGATTCTTTTCTTCTTTTAGATCCCCCCACCTCTTTGTTTTTTATCTTTTTAGATGTTCTTTAAGTTTTCTTCTTGGATTTTCTTTAGATTATTCCTTTAGATTTTTCTTTACATTCTTTTCTTCTTTTAGACCCCCCCTGCTCCTTTTTATGAGTAGTAGTTTCCTCTCTGTGTTCGTTTCAAAGAAACAGGCTGCAGAGAGGTTTTCATCGATAGGATGAGCAAAATCGAGTGAATCTGCGCTAAAACAGGGAACTATACACTACCGTGTGTGTGGGAGAGAGAGAGAGAAGGTAAGTCTCCGACTTAAGGCTCGCGCCATGGTACTTCCATCGATAGGATGATCAAAATCAGAATGAATGTTCTACTAGAGTATAGAAATATACACTGCCACGCGTTCTTCAGTTCCCCCCCTTGTTTTAACAGAGCGAAGGGCGTCGTTTCAGGCAACGGAAGCCCCTTCACTACTCTTGATAAGGACAAAAAACAAAAATTATGATGGTGCATCTTTCCATATTCTAGTTGCAGGTGCATGGGGAGGTCACACATCAGGTAAGTGTGTATGCTATTTTTTTTCCTTTTCTCTTTTCCTTCTTCCTTTAGATTTTTTTTCTTGTTTCTTCGTTCTTCTGATATAGGCCCTCCCTTTGGTCGTGGCGCTCTTCACCTGCCCCCGTTCGTTTTCTGAAACGGACTGCAGCTGAACGCCAGACCCTGGCACAGTTAGCGCCCAGATACGGGCGTGCGTGAGAGAGAAGACCCTGTTGAGCTTGGTTGTGGTTCAACCTTTCAAAATGACAGAGGGGAGGGGAGGCCGTTGGTTTTCAACGACCGGTTGTCCCCCTCATAAGGAAAACGAGGGGGTAGGGGAAAAAAAGAATAGCAGCCATGTATGTGGTTGTGGTAGTGACTAGGTGAGTGTGTGTATGTGTGGTTTTGACGGGGCCTATTTGTTTTTTGAACAGATTGCACTTTGGTTGGGTACAGCCGCTCCCTGGAGCATGTGACCTGCAAGGAAGGCCAAATGCTTATGGGAATGGAGGGCACTGGTTTCCCCAGGGAAATATCAATGTTTCTGGCCCTTTATCGTGGGTTAAGATCAAGGGCCTTGCTCAACTCCGTTTTTTGGACTCTGGGCTAGGCAACTGCTAAACAATCCTCAACTGGCTAGAAAAGCTAGCAGCACCCACACTTGCCTTACAGTTGTTGAGGCTGTGATGCTGCTCACTTGCACTTCAAGTGCAGATGAGCTCCATCACATTGTGAGGGGCGGTGCTGCCGGCGGAGGTGCTGCTAAAGGGAGATGGTGGTCTGCAAGAGTGGAGAGTGGGGGAAGGGCAGCCATAGCCAGAGGCTGGGAGCTACTGCCCCACCCCTGCATTGGTTTTGTGGTTGGTAGGTTGCGTTGGGGTCCAGACGATGTGGCGTCACCCGTTTTAGAGGGGTTCTGCTGCAGGATTGTCGGCACAGCAACCATACTCAGCAACCATACTCATTTTAAAAGGAGATGTTGTCAGATTTGCCGTGCGGCACCGAAGTTTTTTCTTCATGTGTGTCTGGGAAGGCGTTGCTCGATAAATGGCACGACAACGACGGTGTATCCGGTGGGGCCATATTGCTGAAATTGGTGGCGGCGTCAGCGTTTTTTGTGTGGTTGTGTAGGAAGCAGTCCGTTCAGCGCCACCGTGGCGGCGGAACTTTTAAAGGGACCATGTTGCATAAATTTTGAGCATGCCATCAATGTTTTGAGAGGAAGTGCCGCCAGACATGCATCCATGTGGTAGTAGCAGTTAGGCTCTATGCCTCGGGAAGTGTCTGATTTGCATGTTCAACCAGTGGGGGGATGACTTAGGGGATCCACATTTTCGGGGACACCTAACCATAGAGACTACACTTTGACTGTGTCACTTTTTAACTGTCGTAAGTCGAGCCCCTATAGATGGTTACCTAGACCTAGCCTAACTAGACCAAGGCTCCCAAACCCGCAATGTGCCAAGGATCTAACTACAGACCCCTGACTGCTACCATAGAGGACACCCTGATTACTCAGGGACGACCCGGAGCAGACTGGGCTATTTCCAACCTGCATCAACCTCACAGACTCTGGTGGCGAACCACACTTCTATGAACGGTACGACAACCACCCTACCCTTTTCCAGATGAGTCTACTACCTGGAGGAATTCCCTTGATGTGTACCCCTAAGTGATCTCTCCAGTGGGTATAACAGACCAGGCACTATCCCGGATGAAGCCCATCCCGCAGGCATCGTAGGATTTTAACGGGGGCCCGCCTGCAGGCATCGTAAGTACGTAGGACCCGTCCTGCTACGACCACACTATAGGGTGCATGAGAGGCGGGATCAGACCAGGACCAGGGCGGGGCAGGGATGGGGTCAACCATCGGTGAACCTCTGGATCGGGAAACCCAAGGCGGTACCCAAGACATCTGAAGACACCCCAGGAGCCCACACAACCCCCATGGAACCTGAAGGGGTTCACACCCCTCATGCGGACTGACACCCTAACCTAACCCGACCCCTAACCTAAACCCCGCATTGGCCAATATGTCTGGTGCAGATTCGATCATCGGACTGGAGGCCTGACTAACCTTCGGGTACCCCTCATTCTCAGGCGCAACCCCAACATCAGACTATCCTGTGGGTCTGATCATTCAGGATGGACGACCCTCCCCCAAAGCCCGCGGTGAAATCCCTGGACTAAATGCAGACCCGATCATCGGGTCGGAGATCAGACCCAACCGAACACCCCTCCTCTGTGGAATAACCCCCTTAGTCATCGGACTACCCCAAAGGCCGACCACTCAAATAGTCCTCCCCCAAAGCCAGCTCCCAGCATACTAACAACATGGACCAGTCCCTTGGGCAGTGCGCAGGCAGTGTCTATATAAACTTACCAATGCGTCGTCCCAAGGGTGGGGTGTGAATGGCGCGGTGCTATGAAAGCGCGAAACGTCGGAAAAACGCGCAGGCCGTGAGTTTTGAACCCACGACCTGATACCACATTGCGCATTTCCAGACGCTGTCTTGACCACTTGGGCATATGCGGTTTTCACTCGGGGCCACCTTTATTTTTTTTGGCGGCGTGTGGAGCGAGCGATTTTGAGTTCTGGATCATCTGGTATTGAGGGCGATGGTATGGGACCACCCGGGATCACTTGGGACCATTCTAGGACCAGTGGGACCAACTTGGGGTGCGAATGCAGTGGTTTGAGGCGGTGTAGATTTGCAAGTTGGTTTGGGAGAGATCCTTGGAGGTCATGGTGCAGTTGGGGCTATCTGGGGCACTGGGACCATGTGAGACATTGTTGGGAGCACCCTCCTGGAGGGTTATCCCACTTGAGTCCTCTCAATGTCACTCTTGCTTATTCGAACACTTGGGGAAGGACGCGAACCGTCGTTCAGTGGAAAGACCACAACTCGTGGAGTTGTGTGGCGATCATTTTCTTTTGATTGGAGTATTACTCAACTTTCTTGAGTGAGTTGGACCAAACTTCACTCAAGGTTAGTTAATGACTCAGATTTCCTTCACACCTGTGTGAACCCACACTTTGCTCCACCCTGTTCGTTTTGAATGTTCGAAAGAAAAGGCAGACGAAAGTTGTGTGAGTCATGCATGTGAACGAAAAGGTTTGACTTGAGTGTGGAATTGTACTGGTTTCTTTTGAACTTGTTTTCTTTGCGTTCTGTACAGGTAGGTCGATGGCTGCTTGAAAAGGAGATTGATTTCGCCTGTTGGAAAAAAGGAAAAGGCTTGGTCTTGTTCTGTTTCCACCTTTCGCCTACCTACATGTTAAAAGAACTTGTATTTAAAGCGAATAATTTTAACGGATGTCGTAAAAGAAAACTTATGAAATAATCAAGATGAAGATAATCGAACTTGGTCTTCTCCCGAGGATTCAACCTTTTTATTCTGAATGACTTTATCTACCTATACCTGTCTAAATGATTCTCTTTCTTTATATCCTTTGATTCTTTCCATCCAAGATATACTTAACTTAGGAGAAAAGAGAATAATTGGAAGTCACTGGCAACTTTAGGTAGATGTTCATCCCAGTCAATCTGATCGGGACGGATGTACAAGCGTAAAGCTCGCTGCAAAATCTTGTTCATATGCTCAGTCTGGYCATTAGTCTCAGGATGTCTGCCTGATGACATAGTCAACTTAGAGCCATAGACATTCATCAGTTGCTGCCTTTGTTCACTTGTGAACCTGGTATCTCTATCACTCACAATAGTTAAGGGATGTCCAAAGTCTTTTACCCAATGGTTAAAGAATTCCCGAATTACCAATTCAGTCTTTGCTTCCGCAGGTAAAGCTATAAAAACAGCATACTTAGTGAATCTATCCACTATGACCATTACTTGCSTTTTCCCATTCCTGCTTTTGACCTTAGTATCCATGAAATCYATASAGACAGAGTCTCCAGGGCCGGTAGGGATAGGTAAGGGCTTAAGTAGCCCGAGGGGCGATTGCGTGGTGCTTTTGTTTCGTTGGCACACTTGGCAACCCTGCACATACGCGATACAGTTTGCTTTCATTCGAGGCCATGTGTAGGAACGCAATAACGTCCCATAGGTCTTCTTCCACCCGAGATGGCCTTCTGTATCATGACATTCCCCCAAGATCATACTCTTGATCTCTTCATTATTGGGTATACACGGCCTATCATGTACATCAGTTCGTTCAAACAATAGACCCTGAGTTACTTTATGATCGGGAAACTCTGCTGGCCTTTCTTGCACTAGCTTAATCATAGTTCCATAAACAGGATCGGGATACGCATTCCTAATCTTGTCTTGTAGGTCAGCACCTACGTCTAGATAGGTCACAATAGCACCGAAAAAGTCTGATCTACGACTTAGTGCATCAGCAACAACGTTATACTTACCCTTGACTGGCTTCAATTCAAAATCAAACATATCAATTTCCGCAGCCCACCTCGTCAACTTAGGTGTCATTCGAGC